CTTTTTTCAACTTCGGTCACCCTATCATTGAGATTTTTAACATCCTTTTTAACGTCGACGAGTGACTTTTCAATGACATCCAATTTACTTAATTTGTCTTTCATCTCGTCTACTTTAAGAATTAGTGCCTGGGCCCAGCTAGGGGTAGCTTCTGCATGCATGGTGGGGTTAACGTTGGGTGGTCCGTGCACGGGGTACACCATAGTCGGGGACTGAAGGTTATGATAATTCATATTCATAAATTGAGGCGGACTAGCAGCATTGAAAAACTGTGGTGGTTGTGGACTAGGGGCTGGGTAGCAATGTTGCTCGCTCATGTTAACCTGGCCCGAGTACGAGCTCGGCCAACACGTAACACTGTCGTGACTTAGCACACTGTTCAATGACTGACCTTGATTTCCTTTGTTGTTACTTTCTTTCTTCTTTTCAGCTTTTGCTTTCTTTTTGGGTGGCATTTAACTTCCAGTGATGATAGACAACATCATTAACTTCATTAAAAACTACTTTTCAGCTTCGGTAGAAAGTTTTAGACACATGTACAGGCTCGCTACACGCGAAGTCTTTCTGGGCTTGTGTCGTTGGTACATTGTATGGCTGCTACTTTGTCATGATTTGTGATCTAAGTGCGGTTCGGCCGTTTTCGCCACTACATCACCTCAAAACAGTCTCACATCTTACATCAGAAAAATTAAAAGTTTTTTTTCTTTCTATTTTGGTATTTAAATATTTTTCAAACATTTAAAAATGGGACATTTCTCACAGAAACCCTATGTCGCTGACGATTAAGAAACGATCATGAAAACTATTTATCAATCATTCTACCTTAGTCTAATCTTAATAAAAAATGAACGTCGAATTATAATAATATATTAAGACCAATTCACGGTTGTATCTTTGTCCACATCGAGGCTATTCGTGCGAGTGTCCCGTTGGAAGGGAAGTAACTGTTTCAGCAATTAATAGATAATTTTTATAAAAAAAAAATCTCTGTCATGTTATCTTTCCCATTTCGTGACGGAGATCATTCTAGAATAGCTGTTATTGAGGAAAAGAGATTTAAATAGCAGAGTAACCTGTATACATGGCAATTGTAAACGAAAAACGTAGCAGTATATATGTATGTAACACGGAAAAAACGTAGC